ACTTCTCCATGTTATTTGTGTGATTTGGCATCTATTTACGATCTTATGATCGTAGATTCTCTATAGCTACTACAATTTTTGGGATACTTCACATCTAACTATGAGCCCAAATGTTCTTAGAGTTGATGGAGGAGAAATTGCAACTATCAGGAGGGCATTAGGATCGAATAGAATTAAGTTCCAGAAGGATTGCAAATATGTTGTTCTATATCATGAGTTAATAAATGGACATGTCTGGATTCAATAGAGAAGGTTCATACCGGTGATGACACGGAAATGTCAATTGTATGGGCATCAGGTTTAATATTAGGTGGTTTGGGAGACAAGAAGTGAATACAGTACTGTAAGTATTAGATTATTTTTCTCCATAGTTAAAGGTTTCTTGCGGACTCTAGAGCATGAATTGGATAAATAAAGCAAGTCAGATACAAAATGCTGAGGCCTTTCCAGAAGCAACACACCGGTGCGCCTTTCATAACTTTTTATTGCCGCTGTCATAAATTAAAGGGAATGGGAATGGTTAAGGATTATGGGCTGATCCATGCAATACCCTTTTGGCTTTGTGTAGAGTAAAATCTTTAGTTTCTGCCGACTGGGGCAACTTTCGAAAACTGGATATACGAATAGAAGTTTTCTTTCTGTATATTAAACTTCTGCACTTATTTGAAGTGATATATGTGCCTATCTGAAAGGTTTTTCTTCTTAACTGTTGACTCTCAGTCTTGTTCTTTTGTGCCAAAATGGTTAAACCAGAGTAAGAGGGATCTGATTCCTGATAGTAACTGCTAGAAGGAAAAAAAGATGGTTCTAGACCTTTAGAAAGAGAGCAATGGTAAGATTAATAATCATTATTCACAATTTCACAGAATCAGAAATTATTAATAGAAGTAAAGAAGAAACAAGCAAGATATGCCAAGATCAAACACTAGTTCCCTTTGGTATATTATGATTCATGAAGTATGCATAAATAAGTTCATCTGGGATTGAAAGTAATCAAGTGTATTCTGATGTTGGAAACTGAATTTAGTGTGAGTTAAATTGGTTTATTGTGTCGTAAAGCTAATACACTAAGAAAAATGGTCATGAAATCAAATGTAAATCACTGCAGAATATTTCCAAGCTTTCAAGCACATCATAAAGTTATACTATTGAGGTAAAACCTTTTAATAGCTTTCTATTACGGATTTCACGGTATGGGAGTCAATGGAAAATTGTTAAATGTTACTACTAGTAAGACTTTGGCATTCTTAATCATATTTATTATCCATTCTATGAAAACAGTGGATTGTGTAGATCAGTCCATGTAATAACATTTAGATAGTTCTCCACAGCTTCTTAAGTCCCTCCATACACCAGCTTTCTGCACAAATAGCTTCTTGCTTTTTCCTTGCTTATCCATCTTTCCGGAAACAATTATTGAACGTACATGTGCATAGCATATTGTGATATCTTGCACTCATGTGGAGAAATCCTTGATGGAACTTTTTCCCTTTTGTTGTGTTTGTTGTGAATCTTGCTTCCCTCTGTCAAAACCTTTTGTTAGTTGCATCAAAGCGGCTCTCCATCCTCAGAATAAGCCTTTGATTTTTCTAATAGAACCTAAAGTCTTACGTTAACCATAACAACTTGGTATGCATTCTTTATGCTGATATCTAGCGAAATGGTTTAATCAGATTCATTATACACTGTTCTGTTTCACAGTTATTCGAGTGAGAATTTCAATTGTCAATTTTGAGCTGATTTTTCTCTTCTCGGTTCTCTCTTCAGACCAGTAGAGGTACTCTTTTTCACACCTTAATGATAAAACTTAGTGAGAGGCATTTTAACACTGACAGTAACTGCTGGAAGGAGAAAATAAACTGAAAATTAATTAGTTTGGATGAGGCAAAGTGAGGAAATATTGATGCTATCATGAATAAGAAAAATGAAGAGAAAAAAGGTTCAGGAAGAAAACAACATCAGTAGTTGAATAGTAAATAGATATCATATCCCACAAAGATCACAAACTAGTTTCTTTATTTGTACTCTTAAATTTATATTATATGTAGAAAGATTTAAGATTTGTGCACTTTTAATTTTATGAAGTATAGTTTGTCTAAGCAACTAGTGGGTACATCATGTGTTATCTTACACATTTGCGCATAGACTATCTAGCACTCGCCAAAGTCTTGGAATTTCAAATTTTTTCACAGCAGGTTAACATACTAGAAATTAGACTGGGCTGATATCCTTAGGTTTATGAATTATTATATCCTTCCTATTCCATACCAGGATCCAATAAGTATTACTGTACTACAGATTGTGGTCTCTTAATTGCTGGAGGCTACCGAGTTGACCTTGCTTATAATAGCTGAGTTTAGGGGCGTAGCTAGGTTCACGGATGGAGGGCCTCCCCCCCCACCCCACGAGGAAAAAGAAAGAAAGAAAAGGAGCTCCCATGGACTTCATATGATGAGGATTGTTAGCTTTGATTAGCTTCTTAAAAAATCTCTTAAGATGGCCTTCTCACAAATTAGTTGAGCTGACAAATCAAAGCCTGATGTGTATAAATAAAGGTCCAACATGTATAATTGCTAGTTTGCTATCAATTAGGCCCCCATCTATCACCGAAGGCCCAACTACTCTTAAACCCAAAAAAAAAGTTTGGAGAATGGGGTAGTTCGACACATAAAAGTAAAGAGAGGGGTTTCTTAATTGGTCAATAGACCTTATCTCTGAATTTTTTTTGACTCCTTTAGTTGTTTTTTAATTTAACAAATAGACCTCCTGAAGGTAAAAGAGTCAAAGAATTCACTCACAGGGGAAAATAGTAGAATAGGGGTCTATCCGCAATTTAGTGATAAACTGATAATATAAGAGGTCTATCCACAACTAAGCTAATTTTAGTTCTTAGACATCATCACCATCTTGAAATTTTAGGAGAGCATAGGAGAATTTGAGATACTAGTTTACTTCAGTTTGATCTCATTAATGAAATAAAATAAAAAAGAAGGCACTTATTTATCTTAGATTCTTGGCCCTCTAAGATAAAATTCTGGTCCGCCAATGCCTGAATTTAAATTTGTCCTCCTTTTATATAGGATGTACAAAATCATATAGATTCTCACAGATTAGCTACAGACTCACTTATTGCTGGATCTTGGACACTATTTAGTGTTCTCACATATGATAGTACGTGAAAATGCTCAAGTTAGTGAACCCTATGTTACATAGACACGGGTACAGTGTGGGAATGAGTAGGGAGCACAATATGTTTGCAAAAGGTATGGTATAGAGACACGACTTTATGTATGTGCGAGCGTATTGAAGTGATTTACATCAGATCCGTATTGTTTTTTCATTTGCATGTTATAATAAATTAAAAATTTCCATAAAATTTTATGTTTCTTTTATTATGTAGATTATAAATAGAAAAGTGCTCACTTTTACCTATACCCAAAAGACCCTTTAAAGTAATAGTTCCAAATTGTGTACGGGCTGAAATGACCCCGATCAGTATCCAACGAATTCTAAGAAGTGTATGTGAAGTGTAAAATATACCTTCAAGGCATGTATGATGAGCGCTTTTAAATAAAAGATGCGTTATAGAAATACACGTCTTGATACATGTATCCATATATCTAAGGAGCATCTAAGACGGTGTTTGGTAGGGGTTTCAGAGCGTCAGACATGTGTATACTTTAGAATAGAAGTACCCATGCTAAACATATTGAAACTTATCTAAATTTCATGAATTATCAAACTAAGGATCTCACAGCTTTGTTAAGTAGTTTTATTTTCAAATATTTGTTTTTGTTAAAATTAAAGCTTCAGGCAAATGAATTTTGATAATATCAATCTAAGAGAACCAAAACTACAAACATCAATTTTAAATAGGGAATCAATACCAACATGGATTCCAATATTTAAAACCTTACCTGTATTTCTTTTAAAGGATGTCTGGTTGACCCTTTATTTATTTTTTGGGTTGGGTGTGTGTGTGTGTGTGTGTGTGACATCCATTTAACGCCCGCTAGTTATTCACGTAATACTTTAATGAAGGGATAAGATGTCTGGAGATTGTTAGGAACTTACTTTTTAGGGCTATCTTTGTTAGGAACTTAGGGCTATCTTGTATCAACTATCAAGGATTGTGGATTGTATTTTATATCATCTTATAATCCTGTTGGCTTGATGTCAGCCTTATAGGAATCTCTTCATTTGTAAGAAGGAGAAAGAGTATTTGCTTGTCTTGTACCAACAGTTTATCAAAAAGACCACCCTTGTGATTGCTTTTGTCATTATCCTAGTGTCGATGATGATGGTTATTATCTTGTTTCAGGTACAAGCTGGACCATCTGCTGCACGAGCTGTAACTGGTCATGCACAAGAATTCAGCTCACAGCCTTCCTACTCAAGAATTAAGGGTTTAAAAGGTATGTGTAATGTTTCCTAATATTTCAAGGTTGCACACATTTTGCATTGTCATGTTTATCTATTCTGATTGACACTCATAAAGGATTGCACTTCAACTAAGGGAAACATTTAACTGCTCCTTTGCACACTGGAAATAAGTTAGATGGGATCATACCGATCATAGACATGGTAAAAAATAAGCGTTATTATTCATAGTGTGAATGATGTTGATAGTTGAATGTGTAGACGTGTGCTCATTCATGTAAAGACAGACATTTCTTGCATTTTTTGTTCAGATGTGTGTGCCTGCACAACCACTTACATGTTTTATAGGTCCGTTTTTTCTGTGGTTTTGGAGTTTTTGGTGTGTGTGTGTGTGTGTTTACTCGTGCACATGGGTTTGTGTTTTGGTATCTCTGTGTGAGCATGTTGTCTGCTTGCGATTGCGTACAAATACATGCTTGTGTTTAATTGATGAATGAAAGCAGGCCTAGCCCATCAATGTTATGGATACTGTATCATACTGGCTCTTGATTGTTGTTTATGCATCCATTAATTTAACAAAAGATTTCACTTCCATCTTAAGTTTGCTTATGCCTTTGTTCTTCAGATGCTTTTCTGAGAATAATTCCAACACCGTAAGAAAAAGATGGCATGGCCGAAATTGTTGGATTATCATTTGTTGTCATACATTGTATGAATTTTTATAATTTGGTGAGAATGACTCTTCACCATCACCTTCAGGTTTTTCTTTATGCTTGGTGATGTCCAAATAAATTATCTGCTGCCACATGCCTGTTAAGGTTGATGCACCTTGAAAACCGTATGGACAAAAAGTTTAATGGTAGAGAATTTCCTGGTGTGCACATAATGATCGCAGATTGAATGTCTTTTATTGTCCTAAAGCTATTTGATTTGTAACCTAAATGCCTAAATTTTAGGTTTCTTGACTCTCGAACTTCAGTCCACTATATGTTAAAAGGGTTGAGGCGTATAGAACAGTGACCATAGTAGACTACAGTAAATATCTAAGTTGCATGGAAACGGGTGTGGGTACCCATATGCGTACGAAACATGACGAATTCATAAAAGTGGGGTACAGGGATGTGGCTACATTTATGTATATTTATATATTTATATGTATCAAACTTTATTTTTTTCATTTTGTTTTAATCAATTGCTTGAGAAGAATCTTTACTGTAAGTTTCTAATCATAGAAGCATGTTAGTAGAGAAGGCAAAGTTTTTGTTGAGCATACTTGTACATCAAACCCTTTTACTAATCAGGATGAGTAACTATTGTGCTCCAATATCTTGAACAATTTTTGTTGACAGTATTTGAAAGCTTATAAAGAAACATCAACTTATATCCTGCAGATTTCTCAAATGCTAAAGCATTCCAAGAGCCAGATATTTGGTGAAAAACAAAATTTAAACCTTAACCAACAAAATGACTATCAAATGTGAGATATCATGGCTGCATCTATTTCCCCCTCCTGTCCATGCACTGTATCTCCTGCTTGTTGCATCCCCCTTGTTTTTCACTCATGAGATTGTAGTTTTCTGGATATTTATTGTTTTGTAAATTTCCAATTTGAGCATTAAATATGCGCAATTCCCCATTTTCCTTGGTCTAAAGATCCAATATTAGTAAAATGTGAAACTGGTCATTCATAACTGGCTAAATAAGATCTGTTTATAGTTTGAAGAAGCACTAGCTGTGCTAAATTTGAAGGCTGGATGTTACTTGACATATTGTGTTGGTTTTTCGGATGTATCCAACTTTTACATAGGGATATCATTATATTAAAGCAAAAAACTTCACTATCAGCTGCCAGCTTGATTAATTCAGTACTAGAAATACATTAAATTTCTACAATCGCATAGGCCTTGGACCCTTGTCAAATTACACACCTCTGAACTACTCATCATGTGCACTTGTTGTTTAGGTTCATGCCTCTGAATTATTAAGAGCCAGGGCTTGGGGTCATTTGGTGATTCCCTTGTGTGAAGCAGGCAAATATTGCTCTTTATTTATAGTTTCAATTTTGTTTCTTCCTCTGCTTTCTGATCAATGGCTCCTGTAATTTATATGGTAAATTTACCTGGAAACTTTGGGTTTTTAGCAAATATGCAGGATCCATTTGCTGCAAATTCAAATTTATATACTATTTCTTTATTGTTTGTGCACACAAACGAGCATATTGCCGTAGGAGTGTAGTCATCATTTACAGCGCTCTAATCATTATGGCAATATGCAGAGGATGAGGAGAGAGAGCAACTTGCAAAGGAGGTCGCTAAGGATTGGAGCACTGGTAAACTTCGTTGATTTACGATCTATAGCTTGTTTCTTTTTTTCTTTTTATTTTCTGTTGCTGTGAATTTTTCTAAATTGAGGTGTATGCATATTAATTTTATAGTGTTTTCCTGCAGTTTTTGAGCGAAGTATAAACACCCTTTTCCTCACTGAAATGGTTCGAGGTCTGAGTCTGACACTGAAATATTTTTTCGAGAGGAAAGTTACAGTAAGTTTTATCCTATACTCTCTTGATACTACTCTTATTTTGCCAGGTTTTTTTAATCTATCTGTGCTTTCACAGATAAATTACCCCTTTGAGAAAGGCCCTCTAAGTCCTAGGTTCCGTGGGGAACATGCATTACGGCGTTATCCAACTGGTGAGGAGCGCTGCATTGCTTGCAAGCTATGTGAAGCGGTAGGATTTATATATATTTATGCACAGGATTACCTTGAGATATAGTTAGCATTTTCTGGTTTTATAACACAGTATAAGATGCTTGATAAATCGACCACCAATATTTCTTCACATACGACAAAGAAGAAAAAACTTTTGTTCTCATCAATGAATATTTTTTCCAACGTTAAGATATGCCCAGCACAAGCAATCACGATTGAAGCAGAAGAGCGAGAAGATGGCAGTCGTCGAACTACAAGGTACATCCGTTTCTGATACCTTTATATCGATCTAGATTCTATAGTTTGTACTGTCTGTTGAGCTATTGTTGAATGCACAGGTATGACATTGATATGACCAAGTGCATCTATTGCGGGTTCTGCCAGGAGGCATGCCCTGTAGATGCCATTGTTGAGGGTCCAAACTTCGAATTTGCCACAGAAACCCATGAGGTAATAAAAGTAATCCGTTATTATGCTCTTAATTTACCTGAACCAGTGGGCATGTTTGTTTCACTAAAATATTCCGGAGGCCATATGGAAAACCTCTGACATTGTCAGTTTTGGAATTCTCTGTTGAAACTTTCCTATTTTTGTGTTTGTTTCACAAAGCAATGACAGCAAAACTTTCCTATTCTTGAGTTTTGGGCAGAAAACAATTTTACTGTAGAAGATCGGGATTAGGGTTGGAAACGGTGGACATGTGAAATTTGTTAATTAAATATTAGGGTATTGAGGGTGGGTTTCGTTTCCTATTTTTTGTGATTGAAACAAACAATAGATTACAATTCCACTCAAATTCCACCCTTTATTTCATACCAAAACAAACACGGGAAAGCATCTCGAGGAAATGCATGGAAAACTATGGAAATTTATATCCTTTTACTATGTTTTTAGGAAATGAAACAAACAGACCCGTAACTGTTCCATCATTTGCAGGAGTTGCTGTATGACAAGGAGAAACTGCTCGAAAATGGCGACAGATGGGAGACCGAGATCGCAGAGAACCTCAGATCTGAAAGCCTGTATCGTTAATCTTTTATCCATCAGTATTGAGGATTGAGCTACATTTGCTTTGTTTTGTCTAGCCCAAGACCCAATCTCCAAATAAGGCAACCCTGCTTACAGTGCATATTTCTTTGTTCTTGTTCAAGGTTCATGTGCCTGATACATTTTCTGTAACAAAATTATCTATTTCCTTTCTATTTCTAGAAACAAAGACATAGGTTTTCCAATTCCTGTTGTTGTTGTTGGCAATTCTTGTGATTTAAGCGATCGTTAATGTTTTCCGTTCTCTAATTCTCCTGGAGGAGATCGGGTTGTGCTTATGCTGTCTTCCAACAATTGTTAGATGTTGAGGTGAGATTTTTGGTATTTATGAGGCGTGGCAGTATAATTTTTAGTTCCAAACTTATGGAGGTGAAGGGGAGGTGTTAGGGTTTTCCCGTTTGCAGTTCAGTTTAGTCGTAACCACGACTTGCTTTTGCTGCGCTTTAGTTTGCACAGTCGCCGGCCGGGACCTATTTACATCTGTTAATATCAGTTGCAGTGAAACAAAATACAAGTAACTAAAGTAATCCAAAGACGTGCAACTGTAATTTTAAGTCTTTCAATTTTAAGTCTTTCACTTGGTATGTTGTCAATCGACGCCTACAATAGGGACTAGGGCTGCATTCGGCCCGGATATGACTCGGACATGACACATATCACATCCCTATCCGTTTATCCATTTCGGGTATGGATACAGATATATCTCGGTAAGGAAAATTTATACCTATATCTGCTAAAATCGGATGCAGATACGGACATACGTGCGGATATATAAGCGGATATTGATGTAGATACAAAATGAATATGGGAAAACTAGAAGTATGGATAAAAAAAATAATTAATGTGATACAAAAGAGTTCATTAATATGTTCATTATATCTGAAAAGCTAAGATTAGACATCTTGATCATCAAAATTGACTTCAAATTCATAATCTACAGAGTAAACCTATGGTAACAATATGACTAATATGTTTTCGGATATTTTGGATACAGACCAGGATATTTCACTACAAAACCATATCCGTGACTTGTCAGTTATAGATTTGAGTAACCTAATTGTATCCTAACGGATACGGTTACGAATATTTCCTCGGATACTGATTTGGTTTAGCACCCCTAATAGGAACCCAAACAAATCCTTTGTTGAACGCGAATCCTGTACACACCATCTCTAAGAGCATCTCCAACCGAGCGTTAAATCACCAAGATGACGCAAACCTTACACTAAATCCCCCTCCAATCGAGCGCTAAATCCAGCGTTATTTTGATGAGGTGCTACAGTAGTGCACCAGATTTGGTGCAGCACTGTAGCTTTGGCGCATCAATTTTTTGGTTTTTTTTTGCTTTTTATTTTTAAAAAAACCCCCAATGTCCCGGACGAGCTCTTCTCCATCCTTCAACAGGCAAGAAAGAATCGGTGTTGCTTCAAGCCTACGAGCAGAGGAAGGAGGCTCAGCATGTTGTGGATTTGGTCTTGAGGTTTCTTGGGTTTGAGAAAAGGAAGGTTGAAGAGGAGGAGAAGAAATTGGGGGATTTGGGTTTGAGAATTATTTTTATATTTGTATTTTATTCATAAAATATATTATTATAATTAATTATATGTAATGTATTATATAAATATATAATATATAATTTGTTAAATATTTAAAATAGGTAAAAAATTTAGAAGATAAGAATCATAAAAGAAATATTATTTTTTGGTGTAAAATTTGGTGTAATGGGTTAGAGATGGAATAGTGATTTGGTGTAAAAACTA